TTATCTATATTTTAAAATCGTCTTTTGAGTATTTTCCACTATTCACAATTCTACAAAATTTTAACAGTCTTTAGCCAAGACTGTTTGGATAATAAAAAGCAAAAAAAAAAATTCACTCCCAAGTGTCCACGAACCTGCATCTCTATCTTAAGTTTTAGTTATGTTTTTTACTCACAAAGTGCGTTTCTATAAATATTGCCGCTGATTGCTATCAACCTTGAAGTAAAGAAAATATGAACGCCAGTCGCCCTAGTGTTTGCAGTTTTTTTTCACCGGGATACGGGAATGATAAGGTTTATTTTCATTTCCCATTTAAAATAGAATGACGAATCCCAAATTAAGTTGTTGTAATAGTATGAATTTGATTGAGCGTAATTTCTTGCCATTAAATTGAATGTTTATTTCACAGTTTGTACCAATTTATGTCAAAAGCCATGTCAATTGTCATAGAGCAATTTATTTCAATTTCCGAGGAGGTATTTAAAAAAAAAAAACTGTCCCGCGATCACTATGGAATTCATTCATAATATTAACATGTTTTGTTGATGATAATTGGGACAAACTTTAAATTTGTGGTATTTACAAGTCACGTTCCTTTCTTTGGAGCGGGCGAGAAAAACGGAGAGAAAAAATACAATCCACCATAGATTTGTCTAGTCGAACAATATAAAACTAAATATCCACGAATTTTATTTATTTTCACTTTATTTGCTGTTATCTGTGTTTACATTGTCCATGATGCAGTGCTCGCGACAGAATGAACTACCGCCATTTTCGCATGCGTTTGTACTGGAATATTGGGATGTCAAACATTGGAACACTACTACCTACCTCGATGACGTAATTCATTTGTATCACGTGTGTCGTAACAGATGGTGGCAACACTGGGATTTGAATCATGCGCGCTGTGTGTAACGTGTATTCTTGGTAGGGCAGTACTCTTGGACTTGTGTACGCCAGAATCTCATAAGAGCCGCTCTTAGATGTTTTCTTGGGTGAGTCTGCATTAATTGTTACACTCTGAATAGAAAGAAAACAAATAACACGTGTGTGATATCTGAGACGTATAACAGTCAGTTAAGTATAATGAAAGCGCGGTGGTCGTCGCGCGGCGCGTTTTCGAATTTCATGTAAATAAACAATGTATTTTACACGCGTTGTATACGTCGCTATGAGTCCCATATCGAACAGGACGCGGCACGCCGACTGCCGCTTTTGAAGCTGCCACTAGCGAAGGGTTTGACATTTATTCAATATGTAAATCTGGTACATAATCTTCAATTCCGTGATATTATAAAAGCATAATGCTTTGCAAAAAGGTTGAATTACTCATTGCTTATATAATGAGACGTCTCTGTTTTTAGAATACGTAAAAATGGTTTTATTTTGTGGTAATATGGTATAAGAACATAATTAATTATTGTCTAGTTGATTTCCCAACTGAGAAATATATTTACTTGACATACATCTGCATAGTCTGTCATTTATCAAACATCTCCTAACTAATAACAGTCGATATTTAATTAATAATTGCAAACACACTGGCCATACAATGCTGATCTACTTTTCTACGCAATCTCTTCATTTTATTCCAACTTGGCATTTCCCTCTACATTCGCATGCGTGCAATTGTGCTGTATACAGTACATAGTTAAATCAGTAAGATAATCCGTGAAAGATTAACAAGGGTACAGACAATCGATTGGCACACGTGTTAAACATAGTCGAATGATTGATGAAAGATTGGAGGATATCAATAAGTTTCGAAAAGAGTGAGTCCGTTCTGTTGTTACGTACATGCACCACTTCATTTTAAAATAATGCCAGCGGGCGTGTTTTACCCCATAGGTAATCCGGGGAAATTGTCAAATCTTATCGATACACGCAAGACAAACCACAGGCAGTTTCAAGCTGTTCCCTTTAGCTAATTTGTTGGATGAGACAATCATTCCGATGTTCACAAAGAGTGACCAGTCTTCAAATTATGCGCGTTGGTAAATTAAATTACTTGTGCTCTCGATGACAATACACACTAAGGCGTAGGGCAAGTAGAGTGTTTTTAAATTCTGAGAACCAGTAATAATGACTTATAGTCTCCCCTTGTTAACGGATTACAATGATATGCAGTGACAGAGAACATGGAGCCAATTGCCAGATGCCTCTAAATCTGAATGCCTCTATGTCCTTTAATGTTACCTTCACAATTTCAATTAAGGGCATTTGTGGAGAAAAAAAAGGCAAGTGGAGTTTTTACTAAAGACACACAGCTCCAAGAGGCTGTATCGTGTCGCACACTTTTCACTTAACAATCAATTCCACAGTTGAATCTTCAGGTATTTAAATAATCCCACACATATTGTACGCATTACGCATATTAGACCCTAGTGCAGTACAGCAGAATTACTATATTTGCTATAATATTGTTTTATATTCAACTGCTCAATAAAAAAAAAAACAATTTCAAACCACATCACTTAATTTACCTGTACAAGTTTTACTCCTAACTTCATAACCTTGTCTGAGTTATTATCCAGTTTCGTTTTGATATTGATGTATTCCCCAGGACAGTAGGCTGTTCGCTGTAATTCCGCCTTCAGCGCAATCGGGCCACGTCCACAACACCAACAGCAACACAGCGTCTTACGATCAGCAGCGTGAAGTGTTTTCTGTCGGACATAACAACAACCAATTAACAATATATATATATATATATATATATATTTATATCGACCCCGCACATTGGTTGGCGTTTGGAAAAAAAAATGCAAATGCAATTATATGGTAAAACGTCATGTACTTGTCACGCCCTCGCGTTTGTGAGTTTGACGGTTACATTTACTTGCTTAAAATGTCCGAGGAGTCGGTCTAGTGATACAAGATGTTGAATATAAACGTGGGTGAGAAATATAAAATAATCGCATAGCTCTGAGCGGCGATTGAAAAAATTATCCTGTCCAATGATGTTAAATAAGTCATACCTGATAGCCAACAAGGTTACAGTCAATTGGACTGCCAACAAAAGAGAAGTATCTCTCAGCTACTGGGTCTACGGCCCACGATATATCCATGTTTGTCTGCACGTAGTACCTTATGAACGCAATTTTACCACATTCAAATGAACACGGCAGATTGGAGTCCTTTGGAAATACGAAGGAAAACGGGAAAGAGTACTGCCCAGCCTGTAGTAGCGGTATTTCACCAGATTCATGGGGCTCTGCAGAAGAAAGAATATCGTTTAGTAAAGGTTTCTTGAAGTATGTGGCGGAGTCCGATATTGTTAGGAAATATAACAATTGTACACGTCAAGTGACAGCAGTGTGAATCCCAATAACTACTATGATCACATGGACACACACACACGCATGCATGTTGTTATATTTGTCAAACTCAAAGACTTTAGCTTCTACCTTCCACTCGAAAACAAGTTCGTGGCATTGTTCAGACACGGTTCATTGTATTTAATTGTTTTCAAGATTTAGCCTTTACTGTACTTTGGAAATTGCAGGCACATATACGAACAAACTCAAAACTCGACAAATTCTTCTCACCACCGTAAAAAGTAGGTCTTCCCGTTACGTCGCATTGCACTGCCCCCAAAAGACATATTTATTTAACGTGTAGTGAATGTATAATACAATCATGGTTAGTTACGAACTTCGTCTTAACCTAAAATTCAACAGTTTTGGGGTGGATGCACATTTTGCCTATTTTTCATTATAGAAGAAGGTTTGTAAAACAATTTTCTAAATTGGTGGTGTTATTCAAAATATATATATTCAGCATATCAATTCAGTTCGATCCGTTAATACATAATGTATTCAGACGCAAAGAATCGTTTTCTAGAAGGTCGATACGATTTCAGAAATGAAATTGATTGAGAATTTGTGCCAGGTTATTTCGGGAATGAAGGGTGATGCATTCCACCATGTCGCAGCAATTATTTGTATTCGTATCCGTCCTTGGACAGTTATCACGTAATAGTGGGCAGTGTGTCTATTCCCAATGTAAGAGTACACATATGATAGCGAGATTAAAGTAGATTACCGTAATCGTCTATCCTCTTAACGACACGCATGTTTTTTACAAGAGATAAGGTGTATCCTGTATCTCGCTTTACTTTATATGCTTAAATAATTGACATGCTTGCCAACGTGCGGCACATGCGTAAATCATTATTATGTTTCAGTTACACAGTACTGTGTGCTTATATGTAGGCAATTCTTGTTTTTTCACCTCACGCGACTTCTAGGCATTGTGACCTCGTGGCTTGTTATCGTGATCAAAGTGGTAATGGTGAATGATGTGCGTTTCGCATAATAACAAATGACATTTATAGAATAGAATTAAAGGGTGTTCCTGATAGCAGGAATTTGAATAAATAAATAAATAAATAAATAAATAAATAAATAAATAAATAAATAAATAAATAAATAAATAAATAAATAAATAAATAAATAAATAAATAAATAAATAAATAAATAAATAAATAAATAAATAAATAAATAAATAAATAAATAAATAAATAAATAAATAAATAAATAAATAAATAAATAAATAAATAAATAAATAAATAAATAAATAAATAAATAAATAAATAAATAAATAAATAAATAAATAAATAAATAAATAAATAAATAAATAAATACGGCCATAAGCTTTTGGGAAATACAGACAAAATCCCTAATCCAGATCTCTATGAATTATATAACGGATTGTTTCATGGGTCTTCTCAAAATGCGGCAAACATTCGTCCAGGTCATTTTTAGTTATAGCGCCCATGGCTACCAGTTCCGGATACCATCCAAAATTGACTCGTCATTCTCTCAATGATACTTCCTCATACAACAAAAAAATCATGAAAACTGAACCATAACTTGTCCAGTAAACGCCGAGAGAATTAAAATCATTAGATTTGCCTTAGTCTATATGCCAGTCAAACAGAACTAACCGCCTTGTTTATGGTCGGAATAACCATGTGTAGTGAAACATGAAGATACACTACTTGCAGCCGTGTTCAGCTGCATTTCAAGCGATATCAACAACACAGTTCACAACCTGTGATGCCCTAAGCATCGACGTCGTTGCTACGTGTGTATCTCTTTCTCGTCATACACGTGTGAGCTTGAAAAGGACTTTGCAATCTGAAACCTCTGTGTTCTTTTGTTATTTTTTGCCAAGAGGAGATTTAGATGGCAAAACTGCAATATCTAAGGTTATTTCTAAGGCACTCGTTTTAAAACTTGTGGGCGAATGGATGTGCGTTTAGTTTATCCATGGAGTGCTTCAGACGATACCTGATGAAAGCAATTCGTATACGAATCATGACCCCTAAGAGCTGTTTAAATCTATTCAACATTTAGTGTTTAGATTACTTTTTCCTCCTCAAAGAGTTCATAAAACCATACAAGATGTTTCCCAGGTTACACTATTGTTAATGCGCAACAACAAAAGTCAACGCATGTAGGAATGGAATGTGATTACGTGCAGTGGTAAATGAAATGTTAAAAATCGTGCTGAGCAGACGTTTTAAGTACTATGAAAATCAAAACAAAAAAACACTTTCAAGGACTCTGTAATACAATATACAGCGATTCGAAATGTAGACTGCACGCACAAAGGTGGACACATTTCAGAAGTGGAAATCCACCCAGACGTTTTGTGTAATTACTTTCCTGTAAAGGTCTTATTGTATGATGGTTCTCAAATGAATTCAATCCTTTCCGTTAGTTTTTACTTATTGTATGTGCTGTATTTGTGCCTGTTATAATCTGTAAATAATATTCTAAATTTGATTACGTTTTGTCATTTTCATTTTCATTTTCACACACCTTCAGCTATCATTGTGTCAGTTTTTTTGTTTTCTTATATTCACGTTCATGTTATCATGTTATCTCAACAAAATATTTTTTTAAAGTGCGTATTCCCAAAATTTAAAGTGCGTATTCTCCATAATAACTGACTACCAGACTAATTGTTCCAGTAACAAAACAAGTGTTTCCTGTTAGAACATTATAAGGCGTGCATGGGCATTAATTGATTTTACACATATTTTGTATAAAAATGAGAAAAAATATAAAAGAAAAATATGGTGTCTGGCATATTTCTTATAAATAATGTTTCATAGGATAATATTTTGTATTTATTTTCTACTAAGATTGCTATTAAGATTTACACGTAAATATCAGACTTCCTAAAAACTTGCTTGCCTGTTATTGTAGTTGTTTCTTTTTTCTTTGCTTTTGAAATAGCAACAAATCAACAGCTTTTGATAATGTTTCATATTTTAATATACGTATAAACATATTATACGATCTGGTATGTATAGCGAAATATTGCTGTTATTTAAAAATGAAAACAATCGTTACTCCAATTTTCAATTCATTTAAATTATAAAACTATGTTGCAACGAAAACCGCCAACCATGCATTTACCTAATATACATTTAATATTGTTACTGGCTCACCCCGGATCATGAATTGTCGGAAAATACAGTTAAATGTCACCAGAAAGACTAAGACCAGATTTATTGTTGTAAATATTTGTTCCGCTGCAAATGACGAGATGTTCTGTTAGTTCTGCTCGCTCGAACGCCACCATCCCCTCGAGCAATGAACATTATATTGCTAGATGAATGCTAGAGGAGTTTAAACATCAACCATATCACTTACACATGGAATATAACCCAGGTGTTTTTTGTAGTCATATTGGCCTCACTCTACACAATTATACTCTCCGACGATCAGAATATAAACAATTGAAAAGGAGGCTACATATTGTGTTCGAGCAATTTTATATAAAAAAATCATTGTGTTAATTATAACATTATAATACTTTATAAATGGGCATTGTCAATCAATGAATACTTGTTGGTCGACCATTTCAAAGCCGATAGCTGATAAAATTCAGACAATTGTAACTAATGAGCCTAATTATTATCTATTTCTGTTCTAATCAGCCGAATTGAGAAATGACCTTCGCAGTTTCAATAACCAATGTGACAGCTTCCACTGTATAGATTGATTGAACAATTGGAATTATAGAAAATTGGAATTATATGTAACAATATTGTATCTGCTGACGTGCAGATGAAATGCAAATCTATAATTCTTCATTCACACGCTTGTTTTTATTTCGAAGTAATCTTGCCGAAGAGTCACTTTCAACCCATTTTATATCGCAGTATATTTGGATACTATGGACTTTTACTACTTCGGGTTAACTTACTCTTTAAATGGGCCTTTGAAGAACATACAAAAATATGTAAATACAGTTTATTAACATTCTATTGTCAATTCTTGAATGACACACATATCTAGCCATAATAACTTGGTTCAGTTTTCATAAATTCATTTCCTTGGCAGCTTACCCTTTCCCCATATTGTTTTCCTCTCGCATAGAAACTGTTCATTCCCGTGAAAGGTCGTTGTTCTCTTCTTGTCCGGCATGACGTTTAATTTTTCCCTCCAGTGAACCCTTCCGTCTCCACGTAAGGATACACGAATACCTGTAATAAAAAAAAATTGTTGAGAATCCTTCAATAAAATTGTTTAAAGCTACACTGTCATGATAGCATTTCAAATTTGCAATAGAACCATAATATGCAATGGCTTCCAATAAACATGGATGGCTATACACCCAGGCTGTAGCTGGTCTAGCTGAAATAACAAAATGCCTTGATCGTAGTAAATCAAAATATCAATCTTGACACAAGCCTATCAAAAAAAATGACATATGCATAGACACTCACAATCATGCTTTTTGTCCCTCGAAACTACATATACAATTTCATTTACTGTAGCAAATCCCAAAACTATTTTCCCTGACATATTACGTCGGCAGTGTTTGGCTAGGGCATAGCAACTCAAGAAATGTCCTTCTAAAAGTATCCTTCCACACTACAACTATTTATTTTGGCAGAATATGTGTCTATATTGCAGCATAGCCAAGATAAAATGCTTAAAGGGTGGTAGTCGTCGTGCCGCGTCCTGTTCGATATGGGACTCGTAGCGACGTATACAACGCGTGTAAAATACATTGTTTATTTACATGAAATTTACGCTATTTACTCATCAATATGTCAACAATTGGCACTGGCGTCAGAAAAGCGTACCTTAGCCATAGCAAATCAAGAATAGTTTACCCTCACTACAGAAAAGCATCATAACATTTGCCTTTGCCTAGCAATTTTAGAAGCTGTTGTTTTAGTTATGGCAATTCTACAACTAATTAACTTGGGCAATCCAGATCTAAATTTTCAGTTCTCTAACCTGACATGAGCAAAATACATAACCTACTATGTACCCGACAATACTATTTGTGTAAAAATTGCATTGACATTTTGTCACAAAAAACATATTCAATTTTTGGAATTACACAGTTATATTGAAATGATTATAAAAAATGCCTCGGTTGTAGCACAGTCACAACAATTAGCCTTGATTGTAGCACATTCACAACAATTAGACGTGGCGGTAGCACTCTATGAACAATTAGTTGTGGCTTTAGCACATTGCAAATATGCAATATTGTCAATTTTGGTCACTTTATAATAAAGTGTGTAATTATTATTGAATTTGACATGGAAACCGTTTTCGAACGTCGTGTATACTTTAAACGTTGGTATGGTAACAATCTGGGAGATTCCATTTTCTACTGTGGGTATTAAAGACATGTACTCATTCGAAACTGCTTGCAAATTTAACTTGCATATTCTAACTCACTCAAATAGAATACATTCGTTAATTTTTGAGATATTTGAGTCAGTGAATCGGCAAATCAAGTCATATGATGTTCGACAGTAAACCACAAATTATATAGTACCCCACAACTGTACACCCTCTGTGCTTTTCTTCGCTGTCGCCTATATCGTCACGCTCGTCCACTTGCTCGGGATCCGCAGTATCAGGTTTGCATTGCCAGAAATAAACAATAGAAGCTGGTCAAAAGTCATTTCCTGTCAGCTTGGGGTGTATTCTAATGATTTCCTGTTGACTCAGGGGGTTCTGCCTTTAATTAGATGCAAGAGCCAAGAAGGTGTGACTTAATCCATTGTTTTCAAGGGTCCAGCCCAGTCCTTTGTTATTATGAGTGGTTCTTTATTTTCGTAATCCAAGCTGTTTTTCCTAATTGTTTTCTTTGTTCCGCTGCATAGCATTGTGCATATAACCAAGAAATCTCTCAGTATACCAGTTTAATAAGTCCTGACAACATGTACCATATTACAGCAACAAGGAAAGTAGGCAATGTAGAGTGGTTTCTGTTGGCTGATCCCAACAAGCCATCCAACAAGTGGAAATGGCTGTGTGAAGATGATGTTCCCATTGGTCCCATTCAGCGATTCTATCAAATGATGCCTCCAGAAAAGTCAGCAATTCGGGATGGTGTTAACAAACTTATCTTCATGGTCCGTCAAGCACTTGGCAATCCACTTAAGATGGTACTGACACTGTCCCAATGCGCCGGGATGTATATGATGCCTTATTTGGTGGGGATATTGGTATCCAACAATATAGGAAACACCCGAGGCGTTTTGACACCACCAATAAGGACATATTCAGCCCGGTGTATTTTCCTCATGGATGGCCAGAGTATACCACCAATGTGGGCACCAATTGCAAGGTGGCTAACATGGAGATGAAGTTTCCATTGAAGACCAGTAAACCAAGTGTTTTAATCACAGATGATGTTACCAGGGAGATTTACAAGATTGAAACTGTATCTGTACGTGTAACCAAAGAATGGTTAACGGTTAATGCAGTTGCACGGAACAAATATATCTGGTAATGCTGATCGTAATACCACACTCCGGTTATATACCGTATTAGTCCCGAATAACCTCAAATTATTTCATTTGAGAAAATTTGATGCAAAATATAATTTGCATCGTATTATCGCAAGCATTTAATATCGAGTAAACTTCAACAAATCCTTGTTATCCGATTCAGTTTTGCCACTGTTTATGTAGGAATCGTTATCGTGTAGCATTATAATATTCGTCTAATATAATATATTACAACACCACAGGGTCAGTAGTTCGTCTGCCCGTCAATAATAGACGCATTCGTTTCGTTAGTTTTCTCCAGGCGTGTGTCAGATGCACTACTTTATCGCTTAAATAATTTAGATCCAACAAAGTGTACGTGATGCCCATGGGATCAGATGAATAACTGTTGTTTAGTCAATCAATAATAGAATCCAAAAGATGTGTCAGCCCACGTACTTTCGGGTCTGTGAGCGGCATGTTATAGAGCTCCTTAACTACGTCGACGATTTTGTTTCAGGCATTATCAGATGTTGGTATACAGCTTCAAATATGACGTAGTATATAATCTCGATTAATCGAGAGTAAACCGGTTTTTGGCGTAAAATTAGGTTTCATCATGGACATTTTAGCATCCATTTAATCAAGAAACATTTTAAGTGTGTTTGCCTTCATAGATATACAGATTAGTAAAGCAATAAAGAAGCTGCTGTACAATTCGTTATAATAAAGGGAAACAAACCGTTAAATGTTGATTTATAGGTTTGCACTATATTCTCGGCAACATATAATGCTGTTTATTAGTCAGTGCATCGCTGACGGCCTTTAATAACTTGTTATAACACTAATTAATTGTTATTAATAAATATTTCGAAACTCTTGAGTTGGCTACCCACATCTTCATGTATCGATGTCGACTCATACATAAATACTCAGCCACTGAATTAGGCAAAGCCAATTAACAGCAACTATTTTCAATACTGGGCTGTATCATGTTCCGTACTTGTTATATAAGAAATAAGGTGAGCATGATCAATACAAGCAATATATCGGATCTAATATGCGGGTTTTTTTTGTATAGTATTTTATTACACAACAAGTCGGGTAAATCTCAGTAGATGTACATGTGTCCATATTATTTAGCACTTTTTAATAGGGATTTCAGTCACGTAGTTAATGACATCGGAAGAAGTGGGGGCAGCTACCCTTTCAAAAACTACAAAATACGTGAGCAAAACTAAAAGCAAAACAAAATAAAAATTACCAGTACTTCTAACCTAATATCATATGGTCATTTTCGGGAAATTGCAACCCATTGCGAGTAGCCGTTTTGACTATACGGGAGAATAACAACTGAAACATTTGATAATCCTGGCAAGCGCCGTGAACGCGAGCGTGACCTCCAAATTTGACCCGGTGTTCTAAATCTAGAGAAGGTTCCCGCGTTGGAATGGACCGTACGATTTTGAAAATGCCACAGAAATCAAGTAGCTGTCATCAGCTATAGAATGAGGGGTGATAGGTGAGAATCGGCTGAAAATTGGCGAAACGGCAATAAAAACAAACGTTTAACGGCAATTTTCGTATCGACTTACATCTTTCTGGCATATTTATCACTCATAATTTGTAAACAATTTTAATAGACAAAAATCTAGTTTTTGTGAGTGTGACATCATTTTAGAAAGTGCGACAAGTCAATGTACCTCCGTAGCCTCACCTCCATTCCGGTACTTTGTTTACATGAACGCCATTTTCATGTACAAAGAGAATTTTTCACTAGTTCACTTTCATATACGGCAAGATACGTTTATTTTGTTTTTTAGCATATCGAAAATGCAGCGCAAATGCAAAGTAAAACGAATTGTACATGTTAGAGCATTCACAGCTGTAAAATTGATTTCACATTTTCCGGGCAGCTCCCAGTTATGTTTTCCATGCATACTTCTTTTTTAAGTTGCCAAAAAATAAGCTGTATATTATGCTAAAATGTTATCTTAGATTTGTTTATTCGTGTCAATGCTCTTGTTTCATAAATATTATTTTAGCGTAAAAATAAGCAAAGCTTGGTAGAACGCATAGCCGGTCGATGAGGGCGTTTTCAATGCATTTGTATAGGAATAAAAACGAAGGCAACATAAACGAAAGTAAAACTTGTTTATCTTTATTGACACTGACAGATGATTTAAGATGAAATTTGAATATGGCCTGTTTCCGTGGCAACAAGTGATTATGACTATCCCCGACTTGAAAACATAACAAAATGTGAGATGCTATTCACTAAGAAGCATTGCCCAATATGTGGGATGTTTTCTCAGTCATATTGTCTTAATTAGTTATATTATTTCCATGGTAACAGATGGTCATGACATTAGATAAACATTGATATAAAGTTCATTTGTTGAAAATTTGGTGAAAATTTGATAAAAAATGGGAAAGATATGGCAGTTTAAGTTCAGCTCCGATTATAGAATTAGTGCCTAGATTCATCCAAAATGGTGCCATTGTCTTTACTATTCAGTAGTGCTTTGTTGTGTCATCCTTTGTCCAAAATTAAGAAATGCTAATTGAAGCTACAAAGTACCTTATCTCAAAAACGGTTACCCCGATTTTCATCACATAAAATGCATTGCATTGCTCTAGTAGAGATCTTTCCACCATGTGAACTACTCTGAGGTATGTGTATAATTTCCCCTTGAAATCCCTATTTTTAACGCGTTTTACGTCGAACGTTATTAATTATGTAGGTATTTCATGTCAACGGTTAACTGTTTCAAATTGCGTTCACCAGAAGAATGCCATATATCTATTAGCTATGGCAATATATCTGTTGAAGCGACGGGTCTCATATGCTAAGTGCAGTCACTAGTAAAACAGTCAGCAATTACGCATGCTTAGTGATGATAATCCGATAAAAGGTGTGGTAAATTGGAAGTAATCGCAAGATGAAAGGTGCAAAGATCGAGGCATAAAGTGGTTCATTGAGTGGTCTATATTTCATGCGTAAAGTAGAGGATTTCTGTAAATGGATAGGAATTGCATCATCAACTCACGTAGCAAGTGCATTGT